TTCTCAAATGGCACTCCTTCTGTGGAGTCTTTTCCAACCACCCACAAAGAATGGAGTGCTCGCTCAGAGGGATCTGTATTAAATGCCTGCTGCCCACTTTCAATTGCAAGGGCCTTTTTGGTGTGAACAAAATTTTACTTTTGTGGCTATCAAAGAGCCTGACCAAGAGTAGGTGCCTGAAAAACACTTATTAAACAGTTCATATACATGCCTACCTATCTTTTACTCTTGCCATCTCTAAGGTTAAAATGTAGTCATAACTGGATAAACTCTAGTTAGTAGTTTGAGTCACATTCTTAATTTATAGGTTTATTAACTTAGCTACCTTCAAGATATCAGTAATCATGATAAATTGTGCTGTAGCTAAAATGTGATTATGTGCTATCTTGTCCTTTCTTTAAGTATTACACAGCATAGTCATTTATAATATTAACAAAAAGTGATTGAGTGTTCAGTAAATACCTTTATGCCAAATGCTGTAAAAACCATAAAAGCCTCAAACAAAAACACACAGATAAACTTACAAGCAAACAAAGTACATCGAAGCACAGCAACTTGATCTTTTTAAAGACTCAGCAGTACCTTTTTGAAAATTCAATGTCACTTGAATGAGCTAAATTGAAACCAGAAGTTAAGTGCATAGTTTGTTTATATAATTTATATCATTTTCTCCAGAGGCAATATGACATGAGATATGAGTAGAAGTTTCTAACTGGTGCTTAAAGACAATGCTGAAAAATTTATAATCCAAATCCATGTTTGGTTAGGGCAATAGAATTTATTTGAGAGGATCTCAGTGTAACAACACCAAAAGTTGTTCAATATATTTGTATTGTGAGATGGCCCTAGAGCAGCTGTTCTTAGTAGGAACTAGGAAACAGGAAGACTAGATTAATGACTGCTATCACTTTCAATCATTCTCATAGATTCTTTTGGCAGTACATTTCCTTTGTTTTAGTTTAAGAAACTTTCAGTGAGGTATTCTGCTATAAATATGTTACCTTTCAAAAGAATATTTAATAATTTTAAAGTTAAGGTTTGTCCACATAGGTTTTATGTGAATGCAAATAACCCTTTATTCAAAATATGATGTTGATATAAGACATTTCTGGAATTCAGTGACAATTTATAGGACCTATTCTCTAAGTGCTTTAAGCCACCAAATCTCAATGTAGCATTGAAATTGCATATCAAAAATTTTTAAAATTATTGATTTCCAAAGACAATGTGGAGGAAACCTAAAATTTAGAACTTGAATTCCTTCCTCAAAGGAATAGCAAGAGACATCTTGTTAGGATTTTCACTATGATTTCAGCTCTCGATGTAATTATTAAAATGAATCAAATGAAATAGTACAGCATTTTGAATTTCCTATCAGACTAAATGAAAATAAAGCAGTGGAGGCGTAGCTCTGTAAAAGCAGTAAATAGATGGTGAATACTAAATGGTAAGTTGAAATTGATGTTGGATAACTAGCTCATTGAGCTTACAAAAGCATGTCATGCAGTGAGAGAGATGCCAGAAAGAAAGATGATAACATAACGTTATTAAAAGAGCTTTCATCTAGTAACGATTCACAAGTACATAAGTTTAAATAAAACTGTACATCCCTCTGCATTTCAGATATAAACAGGGGAATATATTCAAACCTAATTTTAGGCCATTGCCATAGAAGTTAAAGAACAATACTGTCAAGCCAGAAAAAAAAAAATCATAGTTCATGAG